CTAATGAAAACTTATGAAAACTAATGAAAACTTATGAAAACATAAAACTATATGATCCCGGAGACCCGTGTTGCTGAAACTGAAAATGTAAGGGCGGGATCTAAACTGTATACCCGAGTGTCATGTGACACGAACACATCTCACTGACTACTCGCACTAATCACTGCTCCACGTGTTGCAGTTACACTAATAAATAGATAACAATAGACAGATAAATAAACAAAACAAAATAGCCATTGGAGTCTACGTGATCGATTACATTAGCCCCTATTAAATGTTTGGAAAGATTATTCGTTAATTGTTATTGTTTTAAATTTAAATTCGTGTTATTTCAAGGAGGAAGTACGAGAGATTTATCCCGAACAGTAGACTAAAGTTTTGGACTACACAGCGAGACCAACTTTTGGTTTTGAAGCTGTTTAGTGGAATATATTATTATTATTATTAAACCGACTGTTTCACGACTTCCAGAGGACTGGTATGTCATCACTTCACTACGCCGCGCGCTGGGGTGATGCACAGGTGCTGCACGAGCTGATCAGAGCTAGAGGATGGATAGACGCCGGGGACCGGGTACTGACTTATACTAATATTACATCTATGATCACATAAATTCATCAATTATTTTGTTTCATAATTATCATTTACCTTGTTATCAATTATTTGTCAAGGGTCACAGTTTTCGGTCTATTCTCAGTTTATTGTGTAAATCAGCACTCTGTGTATCAAAGTCTTTGGTGAAATTGACCGGTTTTTTAAATTTATTAAATATTCCTCAACTCTAATTATTTTCAGGACGAGTGGACGCCACTTCACCACTGCAGTGTCAATGACCATTTCGCCGCGGCCGACCTGCTCACCTTTATGTTAGCCGACGTCCACATCCGGGATACGGTAAGCCATGATTGGGGTGTGGCTAAAGGGACTAATGGGCGTAACACTTTCGTGCTCCGCCCCTGTTTATGTAAATCAATTCATTAACCAATCAGTAAGTCAGTTTTAACAGTATAAAAAAAATCAAACAGCCAGTCAATCAATATGGAAGTAAACCAATCAGTCGAAAAATTAGTCAATTTATTAAACAAGCAATCGAATAATTCATTTATTGATTAATCAACCAAGTAATCGATATTTTCATCTGTCTGTCTACTAGCCAGCCGTCAGTACTTACTGGTAAATAAATTAAAAAGTCATCATTCCTTTTGTTTCATAGCATAATCGTACTGCACTCGAGTTGGCTCAGTCAGCTAAGATGAAGCGGTTAATAGAAAGGATGGCGAATGTACCCAAGGACTTCCTGAAAAAGTAAGTTTATAAGATTTGACACTTTGTGAGGCTGTCATCATGCATGATTATTGGTATGACTCTCTATGGCGGATCTTCGATTTTGTTAACTGCGGTGGGCAATAAAGACAGAAAAATATAAAACGAAATACGCTGACAAACCCACTGTTATGCAGTATAATGGGCGCATGGGTTTTAAGTTGCTTTTTATCTGGAAAGTTGATGTTTCGGTCTACTCGTTATACGTTTATTTAGACGGATTCACGCGTCCGTCATTCCGTCCCTCTCTCTCTCTCCCTCTCTTTTAAGCAAACTAATTACACGTTTTTTGCTCAAGTGATAAGGAAATACCCTTGAATTTGTCAACTTTCAATACGCTTCAGGTCTTGCCAAACGCACACCATGAAACTGTCAGATAAAGCAGGTTCCGTCGACTTTCGGTGCGGGGTTGTACTGGAGATGTCTGCCGAGGTGGTAAAGTCAGAAATACCCGTAAGTTGCCGAAGGACAACGCCCGAATGTTTCCGAATGATCTATCCGGAAAATGACGAATCTTTCCTGAATGATGTCATTGAGTTTTACCCTCGGAGAGTGACTTTTAAGCGCCCCGTGACGGTTTTAGTGGACTATGATATAATTATCCAATCAAAGGAAGACATTGTGGTCACGTGTGCAAGCAAGGTTGTTCCAGAATTTAGTCTGACATCACAGGTAAATTCCAGTTCAAAAAGTTTTGATTTGTTTTTATTCAGCGAATGAAAAAATTGCGCACTAAATAGCAGAAAAATTGGAGCTTTTGGTGAAATTACTGTATTCGTATGTTAAAATGCTATAAATGCTGAAAACATCCCATGCTTTCTTTAAAATCTATTTCGTGTTTTCCTTACAAATGCTGCACATGTTCATCTTAATTCCTTGTGCTGTTGCAGGGCAAATCCACCACGGTGAGTTTCGAAACCAAAAAACTTGGGCGAGTGAAAATATTAAAAATGAAATTGTCGGATTACTATGAGTCAGCCAGTCAGTCGACGTCAGTGGTCGACTTTGACAGTTTAAGAAGTGAACAACAGAGCCGTGCCACCATATTGTCCACGTGGGATGAAACTGAGGCTGATGAAGTGGAAACGAGACCAAAGTCGACAGCAGCCGACACCGAGAGCGACGCCATTGTTCAAAAGCAAGAGAAAAAGGAGTCTGAAAAACTCTGTAATTCACACGAAAAATACACGGAGCAAGTTTTAGTCTGTGAAGAAAGTAACAATGAATTCAAACGCGTCGAAAAAACTAACGCTGAAAGTTTTCATGACCATAAAGGCTCGCAGGAAATTAGGTCAATTGACACGAGGAATAACGACAAAGACTTTAGTGAGTCTAAAAATCCGGAGACATTGGAAAGTTCTCCCCAAATCTCTGAGCCGGAGAAAAATGGAAGACAGAGCTCTTTGAGTCAGAGCTCATTCTCGGTTGTGGACGAAAAACCTGAGGACGAAAAACTTGACACAACATCGCAAAAAAGCCGGCTAAGTTCCCTCAAAAGCTTCCGCGAAGAAATCTTAGTCGAACATGCACCCGAAGAGAAAGAACTTAGTCAAAAAGTTGACAGTGAAAAAATTGAGGACAAAAGTAGTTGCACAACGCCACAACAAAGCCGGCAAAGTTCTCTCCTAAGCGTCCGCGAAGAGATCTCAGTCGAACGTTCACCCAAAGAGAGAGAACTTAGTCAAAAGGTTGACAGTGAAAATGGCAGCGAAATCCCAGAAGAAATCGACGACAATGACAATAAGAGTACTTCCTCTCCCAGCGTGTTACCGAGCGAACTATTTAGCGACAGCGAGCAGAGTGTCACCAACACGGCAGAAATACAGGAAAATATAAACGACATCCACAAGGAACTCGCAGAAATTGAGGAACAGTTGGAAGGGGACGCGTATATCTACACGTGAACATATCCATGAATCCAAATTAAGGTTCATTGGTCTGAAGGTTCACTGGGCCGAAAATTCTTATGCGCGCGCCTCTGATGAACTTTACTTTATTGCCAGTACGATTTTGGCCTACACTTCGTTCATGCATTAATTTGGATTAGAGAACTTATGGACCAATGAACTCTCGGACTGTTGCTACGGCTCCGTTGGAACGTATATGGTATTTGAATTGGGAGAAAATACTTTTTTATCTAAAAAATAGAGAATTTTATGTTTTAAACTATTACAGGTCAACCCATGGGTGGGGGGGGGTACATTAATTAAAAAACTAATAGCTTTATGATGACGGGTAGAAAGTAACAGGGCAGTAATACTTGAACACCATGTTTAAAATATAAGTATTTGCATGAAGTACTACGGTATGTGGTACGTGGCCATCAAATCAACGTAAAACTGCATACAACACGGTAGCAGGAACTACATGTATATGAATTATAGGGTTATTTATATAAAATATCATATAAATAATAATTGAACCAAGTTTTATAAACAAAACGTTGAACTTCACGTGAACTTTGGTGCTGAATATACACATGCTTTAAATAAATGTTGAAAACATTAATAAGAATAATAATAATGAAAATGACGATGATGATGTTTATTGATACGACTATATTTGTTGTAAAGACTATAAGGTACATGTAGCTAACGTGGTATTTTTGTTATACAATAAAAGACAATAATGTATAAATAACAAGCTCTCCAAGTACTTTATGGGCCACGTATTACTCGTACTTGTTGACTCCATACAGTGATGAAATAAATTTAATGATAAATGTTATCATTTATTACAAAGAATATTTTGCGCTGTAAATTGAATCACAATCACTGATTAAATTTCAGCAACCTAGATCTACAATATCCCTCATAAATTGTATGTTAGAAGCTTAGTTTGGGTCACTGAAATGGAGCAAAATATAGCGTTCTTTAGCACGGACTTCCTTTATTATTGTCCATATTCTCCGCAGGCTCAGTGCCTATACTTACGGACAAAAAATGCACAAAGAGAAGGAACTGAAGTCACAAGGTTTATTTCTTTCTTTATCTTCGACCCCCCCCCCCCTTTACTGTACACGTCCATCTCCATAAGGGCGCATTCCCACATATTTTAGATCGATCTAGATTACTGCCAGATAAATGTCCGTCCCGCCTACTACAAGCTGTAAGGCGGTAATTAACTTTCGTGCCCGCTCGGCTGGCAGCTATTTAGCATGAACCCCCAGGGAGTTAGGTCGATCTAGTTGGATCGATCTAATCTCTGGGAATGGGGTCTAAGATTTTAAGCGTTGTTCAATTTAAAATGCCAGTGAACAATCTCAATTTCTTATTTTTTTTCTAATTACATGCAAATGGAACTGTTTCTACTGGCTTAACAATATATAAAGGGTGAAAAGGAATCAAATCATTAATATATTATCAACAATAGTACAAAAGATTCCAAGGGAATAATACAAACAAATCAAGTTATTGATACACATGTATATTATCATGATTGTATGGGTTCTTTTAACACTGAGGTAAATCCTTTGGTCTGATAAGCATCCAAATGCATTAGTTTTCATGAAAGTGCAACAGTATAATCAAAATCTTACCATCTAGTCCGACCGAAAACTGTAACAAACTATTCGAATGTTTTTTTTTTCTTTTTTTTTTTTAATTCAAAGTGCTAGGAGTGCAGTACATATAATGTAATAACGTAAAATGAAAGAAATAGCATAATATTTGTTCTACTCAACACCTAACTTCAGAAAACTCTATGTACTCTTTGAAATACTTAAGAATATATTCCTTTGTCAGGTGATATCTCTCCAATAAATGCTGATGTTGGCCATATTTGTTTTGTGGATTGTCTTTGACGTAAGCCGCCATGATGGTTTCTCCTTCTGCGGTTAATTCCAGCCCGAAGCGGTCGTAGATTCTCTTCACGACATTCAAGGGGTCTTTGACAATATCACTGTAGGCAATATCACAGAAGCGGTGTTCTTCTTCTGGGTGCGACTTTCTAAATGCCATCATGTTGAATCCACTGTGGAACAGTGGGATAGCCACCATATTCTCACCGAGTTTTTTCAAGTCCAGGTTCGCCGGCTCGTATCCAAGACCTTTGAACGACTCCGCGATTGAACAGAGAGAAGCGATAGCCTCGCAGGGGTCACGGTAGGTGTGGATGAAGGTGGCGTCGGGATACACTTTCAAAATGGCGTCCAGATAGAGACTGTGGGTTGACTCTTTGAAAACTAGTTGCTTATTGATGTCATCTGGAACAAGATTATCACATTCGCCAATGAGCAAAATCATGACATTTGAAGCGTTTTCCTGATCAAGTCTATGGGATATAAACGAAATATCGGAGGCTTCGGAGCTCATATCATTTTCTGCACTTCACTTGAGACGACTCGCTGTTATGTTTATTAATTTGTACACGTGTCTGGTACGAGAAGTACACCACAACATAGAGGAACCTTCGCTTATTGTATGTCCGTCACACTTGAACCCGTCCCAAGAAGTGGAGCCTGGGCTCACATTTACATTAAATATAATTGTGATGAGCTTCAAAATGTATCAAACCACACCAACCACTACTACCTCCCTGAAACACAAACTTAAAGGGATAACAACTGTTCGTTTTGGTGAAGAAATGTTTTTTCTTGGGTTAAACTACGATTTTCCATGCATACTTTCATGTACCAACGGTAAGTTAGACCATTTTTTAAAAAGTTCGTTGTTTTTTGTAATAATCTTTTATGACATTTTTTGTAATAACCTTTTAAAAGATTATTACGCAGGTAGCCATCTTTGAAGGTCCACGTGGTATGATGGCAAGCACAAGTTCAAGAATAATTTTGATTACCGCTGTTTTGGTGGTAAAATGGAACCATACGTCTATGAGCTATTTACAATGTATTTATTGTTATATATGAATCTCATACAGAGAGTTGTTATCCCTTTTTTTCATCAGATAGATATCTGATTCTATTGAAAACATACCCGAACCCCGGGCGAGGAGAATGAGTTGAATCTGCAATTTATGAAAACGGTAGGCGTCTTCCTTTTCTTCCTCGGTCAGTGAGTTGAGCCAGGCTAGATACTCTTCTGGGTGGTTGGTCAACAAAGTATTCGCCTTGAATATCCCACAATTGTCCATCAGACGGAAACACTCGTAGGGGTTGTCTGCCACGATATTATGCATGGCCTTGACCTTTGGCACTGCCTCGTACATCTCAGCTGGAATAAAGTTCATGTAGATGTGCTTGAGGTGAAATGTAGAAAAGTTGATGTCTTCCTAATTCTTTTTTGTCCATCTATACATGGTACATGTATTGTAACTGAGGCGACTTTGTCACTGCTAACGTTCTTTAAAAAACAAAAAAACAAAAAACAGGTGAATAAAATGAAAACGATATTTTGGATATTTTCAAAAATAATTACAAGTCTGTGTTTGTCTAGTTGTTCTCGCAAAAAAAAAAAAAAAATGAAAATTAAATCGTATGCAATATATATATATTTTATCCCATTCTTTAGTCGCCGACGACGTACCTGTTGTATCCCCTTGTTTGACCCAACTTAAGAAATGGCACATACTGGTAATCTAGATAGGTCGAATTTTGATTCAGTGCTGACTTTCGTCCGACCAAAGTGGCCGTTATTTTGAACCTCTGGAACCACCCTCTAAACCTCCCCCCGCCTTGCCAGCGGAATTATATATATGTACTATAAAACCTTACTTAAGGCTTTGCGTTCCGCCTCCACGCGGGAATCCTCCCTTTCTGTGGGTGTTTCTATCACCGGATGCATCGTCTCGTAGTACCTGGGGGATGTATTTTTGGGATCCTGATACAGAAGATTCAGCAGGAAAGTCGTCCCGGTGCGGCAGGGTCCGATGATGAAAATAGGTCTCTTTATTGGACACTACGAAGAAAAAAGAAAATCGTCAAGGTAATATTATTCGTAAAATATTTAAGACATTGAATAAAAGAAACTTTCTTATTTGACAGGAATGGCAGTCCTAGGAATGGAAGTCGGGGGTCCTATGTGGAAAGTACATGTTAGGGTTAGTCGGAGTATTGGGGTAAGTATATGGGACAAATGTCACCTGTACAAAGTAATGAGGAACGCACTACGTTCCTAGCGGACTACCATTCCTCTCACACCGACACGGTAGGTTTACTGCCTCGGCCGTCTTCTGTTTTCTTTCACAAAAAGCACTCTTAGGCTATTGTTCTGTGTTTATATCACCATCAAGGAATGATCTGAATCAAAAAGGGCAACAGTGCGGTTTTGAAATAAACTGCTTTTCTCAAAGCAATATTTATTTTATAGCAATGAAGAACAGTGTCTTGCGTATTTAACAGTTATATATATTTTATACTTTTTTTTTATATATTTTACTGTTGTAAACATTTTACATTTAACATTACCTGCCCCAATTAAATTGGTCGTGTCTGTCCACTTAAAATGAAAACATTTACCTTACGCAAATATTGCTTTTTATCTCGCATGCAGGTGTACATGTAAGTTCCCTCTTTAGAGAATATAGGAGGCCTGTCTGTAATCGTGCCGTTCAATATCCCATGAATTAAGTAGCCTAAGAGCTATACTGAAATACGCCCAAAGGTTACTGCCTGCATATTATCTGAAGCTTGTCTTTTTTCAGGCTGGGTCGAACCGACATTCGGGTTAATACGAAAAAAGCTTGTTAAAGTAAAGCGTGTTCCCAGTAAAATTGGGCCGATCCGGAATTTGCCTATAGCCTACGACTTCCTATAGGACCCTATTGGACGTCCTAAAGGACCGTTCTATGGGACTTATATGCCCTATGAGGCCCTACAGGATTTCGGGCCAATTTCCTATAGAGTCCTATTGGAAATTTATATAAGAGTATCTAACATTTTCTTTGCATGGGAAAAGTTCCGAGTTTGACTCTTCACATCTTAATGCCCCCTAATTCAATTACACGCTGCATTTGTCACTCGAGTTAAATACCTTAGATACGTCAACGAGAGGCAGTTTCCTAGCAATGGCCAGTCGGTTCTGGAGGACCTCTGTCCATCTTGTTTCGATGATCATTCGCCCCGCCATGGTCAAATTTTCGTCCTCTCGGAAACATTTCAGTAATGTGGTCCATCCCTTGTACCACCATTTGCCAGTGAGGTTGTCGGACAGCAGGCAGCTACGGTCCTCGGGGGAGAGTTTGGCCAACAGGCTTTCCTCTGTGAGAGGACATCCGCTCTTTAGGTCCATGTTTATTTGGTTCACTCGTTCAGGCCTGTAGGGCATGAGCATTGATAAGGGGTGTGTATGGACGAGTGGAAGATTACATTGCTGAATCACATTCAGCGCTCTTCACATAACAGTGGCAGTATTTACCGTGAGTTAAAAGCGAAAGAAAGCATAGAATACTTGTCTTCAACATAAGACATTTATATGGTATATTATGTGGTTAGAATATATGTATGCTCAGTTTAGATGGTGTAATTTCTTCCGTCTGCTTCGTTGTATTTGTGAATCGTTCCAGCTTTAAGACGCGTGTGATCGCTGTTGATGACGTAGCTGAAACCGATATCGATGACACAGTTTACCGGCGGATCGACATGTAGGGCACTGTACGTATCAAAAAGAAATGGGGCACGTGCGCAAATGTCTCGATTCCATGGCCCCGTATCTCGAAATAGAATCGGTTATGGAATCGAGACACTTCCGCAACATAGCGAACCTTTCGAGATTCGTAGCCCAGACCTCCAAAACACACAAAATAAGAAAAAAAGCCATCACTTTTATAGTAATTTAATAAAATGACCACATGCAGCATATGACAGCCAAAGAAACAAAAATACCACCTATGCGATAAAAATGCGAAGTATACATCTGTTAGAAATGGAAGCGACGACACTGAAATCTAGCCACTCTATATACACGTTGAAGGTTTCATTTCATCTCGAAGAAGCAAGATGAAAATTCCAAGTTTTCTCAATTATTATTATTATTATTCCATGGCATAGACAATGACATCTCAGTCAATAATCACAACAAAAGTTATTTATGGAAATGCCCTGAAATGATGCCTCAAATAAAATGACTATGGCATATGAAAAGGTGACGTGTCTGGTAAGAAAAAAAACTCGTTTCCCGCAGGTTTAAGGCTACAGTCCCAGCGGGCAAAATATGTTGTTTTAACATTGAAACAACGTTGAACCATAACGTTGATAAGACGTTGGATATATAAACATTGGATTTGAAAGTTGACTCAACCTCAGATAATAATGTTGTATCAACGTCAGATAACAACATTATATCAACCCCATGCAGTTGTTAGACAACATTCTTGCATGAAAAGACATTGAAATGACCTGAGTGTAGGGTATAAAAGTATGGCTTTTAAGTTAAAATTTCCAAGGTTTATATAAAAAAAAAAAAAAAAAAATATATATATATATATATATATATATATATATATATATATATATATATATATATATATATATATATACAGCATTGGTCAAAAAGTTTGTCCCACCCCCAATTCCATGTACTTTTATTTACAAATGATAACCTTACAGCCGTAAAATGTTAGAAATAGTGCTTTTTATTACGGATACAGTGTCTAACGTGATTAATGGTTTAAAAAATACAAAATAGAAGTAAAAATATACATATTTTATACCATTTAGTATTTATAAGAGGTACCCCATCAAATCGACTGTTTCACTGTGACTTCTACAGATGTAAAGAAATGTCTATAAAATTGAAAAGACGCCATCAAATGTCACCAAATTCACACACAATTAGCATTAGGGTGTGCTTGTTAAAGGTCACGTGCCTAACAGCGTGTGCGTCTACTGCGTACTGCAATTATCTCCTGTAGATGGCGCGACAAGACTTCAACATGGGTAACAATTCTGTTATGTGGGATATTGTCCGATTCATCCTAAAGAGCGTGGCGGAATTGGTCAAGATTATTTGGGAATTGGTTCTCCTCCGCAATGCACATTTCAATTTATGCCACAGGTGCTCAGTAGGATTAATATCAGGTCCCATCCTCAGAGCCCTGTGTTTCTGCAACAAATCATTTCCCAGACGAGAGCTGTGGGAAAGTGCGTTGTCACAACGAAGCCAGTAGCATCCCTGAAGTCACCTCTTGCAAATGGAGTGAGATTTCTGTTGAGAATGTCACATTAAAATGCCCCTGTTACGTTTTGTTCCAAAAGGAACAATGTACTAATACCATGGGCTTGGAATGTTCTCCAAATGCGGATTGATCTAACACCTCAGGCGATATTACCCTACACACACCCTTCCGAGAGGCGTTTTTTAACATGTCTATGGACCCTCTTTGACTATCAATGGGATACAAGTAATAATTTGATTCTGCATCAAAATCGACTTCCTTCCAGTGATGGATGGCCAGGTTCAGGTGCCTGTGGGATCACTGAACGTAGCATTCTCAGCTGATATCTCATTCCATCTTCAAGAACTGACTTTGGGGTTAACTTCAGGCTTTGTCATGACTGCACAATTGCTGACACCTCTCGCCAGGCAAGTGCTTGTTGAAGAAACACAATGGTCTAAGGATGGAACCACCAACTTTGAGCCCTGATATGAAACTTACTAATCAACTGTGACATGAATTGGAGTGTGCAATGCAAAGGAGAACCAACCCCATAAAAACGCGGACCAACCCCCCCAACTTGCTTTAGAATAATGGGACAATATTCCACAAAACAGAATTGTTACCCATGTTGAAGTCTTGTCGCGCCATCTGCAGGAGATAATTGCAGTTCGCAGAAGACGCACACGCTGTTAGGCACGTGACCTTTAACAAGCACACCCTAATGCTAATTGTGTGTGAATTTGGTGACATTTGATGGCGTCTTTTCAATTTTATAGACATTTCTTTACATCTGTAGAAGTCACAGTGAAACAGTTGATTTGAGGGGGTACCTCTTATAAATTTTACTAAATGGTATAGATATGTATATTTTTACCACTATTTTGTATTTTATAAACCATTAATCACGTTAGACACTGTATCCGTAATAAAAAGCACTATTTCTAACAATTTACCGCTGTAAGGTTATCATTTGTAAATAAAAGTACATGGAAATGGGGGTGGGACAACCTTTTTGACCAATGCTGTATATGTAACAAAGTCACAGTCACCTCAACCTGTCTGAATAACAAGTAAAGAAAATTCACTAGTTCACTAAAGACACAAAACAACTGTCACTTTTACTTTAAACACTTTTTTTATTATTTTGATAAAGTTAGTTACAGTATTGATAAACAAAGTATCACGTTTTCAACAATTAATATTTTAAAATATAATCCATGTCTGCAAGGTTGTGTCAATGACCAAAATACAACGTTGAGTCAACCTCACATTATGACGGTGTTTCGACGAGGCTGGATCAACGTTGATTTTACGTTGAATTTTGGTAGATCAACGGCAATTCAATGTATCAACTTGTTTTCAACGTTTATCCAACGCAACTATGCCTGCTGGGAGTGTGCGACTTGTCAGCTTCTGAGTCATGGCAATCTATAAGCTGGCAGTCTACATCTGGCGCACGCGCAGTCCGCTTATATGTACCGGTAGAATAGTTCTCGAGAATGGACTATGAACACAGTACGTGGACGTGAATTCCATATAAGGCTATCGGTTGATAATTTACGGTAAATACAAGTTATTGATTAATAGAATTAATCAAAAGATACAAACACCCATATCTTGATTAAGCTGCATTTCAATCAGATGACGCCAACCTTGTTCTGAGAACTGATGAAATGTTAACAGGCCTTTATAATCTAGTGACTTTGTCATACCTCGAAGGACAAGGAACGAACGTCAAGTGACAGTCAAAGACTTGCCTTAGCGGCATTAACCAGCTGAGATTTCAGTGACATTGGTATACATCATAAGGTAAGACACCTTCACAATCTTTGTACGGACATTTCCTGGTATTAGTGGGCTTATGGTCTCATTAAATGAGATCTGAAATTCCTTAAGATAAAGCAGATGCGACACACTAACGGTATGCCTTGAACCGTGCATATGCTTCAAAGAACGTGTCCTGCTAATGATTTACATATCAACATACACAAACTGGGGTTTGGTATGTTAATATCGAGCTTACAAAATGCATTTTTTTTCTAGGTTTTTCTAGATAATGAGATAAAGTGCCCATTCTGTTAATTTCTAGTCGAAATATGACCTACCCTTCCTCTCGGTGTGTTAGGTGCAGACATGTACAGTGAGCAGAAAATATCTGTGGAAATAACATTTTCTGGGAAATAATGTAACAAAATACTGTGGTATTTATTTAAGTTACACTATTTGAAAAACTATGGTGGGATTTGGTTAGGTTCAGTGACAATGATTTGATGTTTAATATTCTTAATCCTTTCTGAGACGTGTTAGAAATTACTAAACTTTTACAGACTGCTCATTCAGATTTTACAAGAACGATCATTTATGCATGTATGACCGGTCATATTCGCTCGGTTAAAATGCCTATGGCAAGAAAAGGTGAAATTACTCGTTAAAAAATAATATTTCCCCCAAATCTTCAGCTACAGTGCGTGAACTGCGTATCTCACCGTCAGCTACTGAGTCATGACCAAACTAAGATGCCAGTGACGCATGCGCAAACCGCATACAGAAAGTTCTCGTGAATTGACTTTGAACATACATGTAGCACGTGAATTCCATATAAGGCTATCGGTGATGATTCACGGCGTAAACAAGTTATTTCCATATAAAGCTAATCAAATAAACGCCAATGTCTTGATTAAGTTGCACTTCAATAAGATGACGCCATCCTTGTTCTGAGAACTGATTTAATGTTAACAGGCCTTTATAATCTAGTGACTTTGTCATACCTTGAAGGACAAGGAACAAACGTCTAGCGACAGTCAAGGACTGCCTTAGCGCCATTAACCAGTTGAGATTTTAGTCGCATACCATCTGGTGTGAGCGGACATTGTGTGTTGCGATGCAATTCTTGTAATGGTTTTGTAAAAGTACAAATATACAAAACCCATAAAACACAAAAGGGGACCAAGGATTTCTTATGCAAATACATATAATATGATGCTGCTGTCTGCTACTGAGTCATGGCCAATCTAATCTGCAAGTGACGCATGCGCAAACATGACTTTCATATTAGCCTAAACGTAGATGATTTGCGGTAAATACACGTCACTAATTAATAAAGGTAATCATTAAAGCACCCATGCCCTGATAAAGATTATTTGAAGCAGTTGACCCTTACCTTGTTCAGAGAATATAGGCCTTGCCTCAGCAGCGCCATAAAACAGTTGTTACACATTGTTTGCTGAGACGCCTTCACAAACTTTGTACAGGCATTTTGTGATGGTACAAATGGGTCAAGATATAATAGGATGTCTTGATAAAGTTGCACTTACATCAGGTGGCGCCAATCTTGTTCAGATATCTAATCAAAAGCCAAAAGGCCTAGAAATCTGGTGACTTCAGAAAATTTGAACAGGGATTCATAATAGAAATGAAAGTATAGAGAATTTTCGCGCCAAACACTCATTTTTAACTAATTTTCTCGGGGTAAGCGCGTATTCCCTCGATTTTAAAATCTTAAATCTTCCTTTCCTGACACTCGCAATAACTCTGTAATTTTTTAGTCAAATATACATTTGCTTCCTTTTATAACTTGCAGACCTATTTTTCTATTCCATATCGACAGGTCATCTCAGAAATCCGTGATGTCCAAAAGTAAGGATCCATCGGCTAGTTCACTTGGTGCACGTGGACCCAGGGCACATGGTGCCAGAGAGTACATGTACACTTTGGTTGACACCAAGGAGCGCTTAGATTCAGCCCTAGAAACCCTGCGAAGCGTGAGTAAAGAAGGCCCGAATCTTGCTGTCGATGGTCATGGCTTTGAATATTCCAGAAAAGGAAAGCTGTGTTTAATTGCCATCGCGACAAGAGATCACGTGTTCCTGTTTGATATCATCAAGCTCGGGGAGCTCGTTTTTGATCGCGGGCTGCGCGAGATTCTCGAGGATCCCACTCGCGAAAAGTTGATGTTCGACTGCCGCGAGGATTCCGATATCCTTTGGCATAAACACCACGTGAAACTTGACGGTGTCCTAGATATACAGCTTTTGCAAGTTATGCATAACAGAGGAAAAAACAACCCGATTTCGTCGCCAGTCAGTCGAAAACGCACTCGAAAACAAACTGTAGAAGAAACCTGCGAAAGGGTAATTGGTTTGACGAGTTGCCTTGAAAATGAAAAAATAATTAATTCCGACGATGTCGAAAGAAGGCAACATTTTGAGAATAGCTTTTGCCAAGATCTCAAAAGATGGACCAGTAGACCCATCGACAAGGATACGAACAGGTACGCATGCGAGTGTGTTTCAATGCTTTTTGCGCTGTACGACAAAATGAGATCGGAAAACATAACTCAGCTGAAAGAAGCATCTGGGCGTTACGTTGACCTCAAGCGTTCGATATCCCGTCGCAGATATGACGATTTTGAGGGAAATTCATACCTGCCGCTAAATATAATACCGTATACAGAATGTGATTTAGATGAAGACCATAAGTGTGAGCTCTGCCAAAGGCACTTTCCATCTCAAGCGTTAATGGGCAATAGAATTAAAAAGTGCAAGGTTTGTTTTCAGATGGAAAAGGAAAAAATTAGGAAAATTAGGAAGGAAGAAAGGAAATCACAAGAACGATGACAGTTATTATGGTTACATGCATATGTTACGATAAAAAAGACGTATTTTTAGAGCACCATGATGTATGTGCTAATAGCATTTTTATACGACGTTTGAAAGGTTGAGCAATTTAGAAAATATCCAAAATTTTGAAAAATTAAGTCGTTTGGATGGTAATTATTTCACTCTTGTCGATACATCTGCCTTTGTTAATATGTATGCATATTCATCTGACAAACCTATCACGAATTTATAGGTTTTCCATATATTTGCCGTCATTGCACATGCACATGTAGATATAGCAGGTACAGAAAACGCAACAAGATTAGGTAGAACTTAAAGGTACACTTCATGTGTATGAAATTCCCCATGTGCTTTTTTTACCATCCACAGCTTCTTAAAAAACTTAAAACACACCAAAAACGAGTTTACTTTTCTTAGATCCTGTGTGCCATATGTCCATCGTTGTGTCTCAGGCCTGTAGCCAGCAATTTCAAAAGGGGGGTTCTTTTTCTGAAAAAGTGGACCTTTTCTCATAAAAAAACTTCATGTACCTAGATCAAATTTCACCCAGAGTGGATCTTTTCCCATCAAAAGGGGCGGTTCTTT